ACTACCTCACTCCACCCACTCCCCCCCCCTCCCCCCCCTCCCCTCCCCCTCCCCTCCCCCTCCCCGCACACAGCCATAGCTGCAATTGCCCCTGGCCGGGGTATGGGAAAGGACACCAGCATGCCGCAGGCGGTGGGCACAGCCATGTCGCACTCGGTCAGCCTCTCCCAGTCGGCGAGTAGGGCCATGGTCATCGATGGGGCTCTTGCTCATCATCTGGCTGCATTGGGTGGCGCTGCGGAAGTCTTTGCTGGAAACGCTGCTCTTGCTCCGCTTGCCATGGATACGCCGACTGTCGGTCGTCCCTCCTCCTCCTCCTCCTCCTCCTCCTCCTCCTCAACCCTGTCCGCTGCATCGGTTGCGTCGTCCACGGCGGCGCATCCTTCTGCTGCATCCTCGTTCATGGCTTCGGTTGTCTCGGACAAGAGCAGCGCGGTCAACTCATTCTCCCCCATCGTTGACGCTGCTCTGAGGGATCACCTCGCCATCGAGCCTGTCGTGGCCCCCGCTGGCGCCCCCGTCGTCGACATGCTCCTCGAGTCAGTCCTCCGCAAGCGCAAGCGCAAGATGCGCAAGCACAAGCGCCGCAAGCGCCGTCGCCTCATCCGCCGCAAGACAAAGGCCAATGTCTAATCGCCGTTTACATCGCCACTCTCCACCTTCGCCCCTCCCCCCTCCCCCCCTTCCCCCCCCCCCATCTTCTCCTAGGGCGCACCTCATCCCAGGCTCCAAACATCGGACCCGATCACGCGACCAGGACTGCAGCTGCTGCAATTGGGCATTCCCGCCCAATAAACCACTTGTCTCCCGCCCTCCGACATGGATCCCGGCTTCGAATTCCATTCCTGGGCCCATCTCGCCGATCTTCTCCAACTCTCGCGTCGTACCTATGCCGACTTCCGCTCGCCGGCCACCGCTGACTCCCTCTCTGCCTTCGGACTCTCCATCGCCACCGATGCCTCGTCCACTACCCACGCCCTGGCCCTCCCTGTCGCCTCGCCGCTCTCGCCGATCTACATGCGTGACAACATCGGTTCGGCTAGCAGGCTCGTGGCCGCCGTTATCGACCGCCATCTGCCAGCCACCTTGAGACCGCCGCACGCATCGGTCTTTCTCACCAACGCCCATCCTCTCGACGTCTTCCTCGCCAAAGCCGCCATCCTCCTCCGCCATGACCTTCTCGATCTCACCACCATCGCCTCGGCTGCCGAAGCAATCTTCCTTGCGCCAGGTGTCTTTGCCCTCGTCGTTGCCCCGCTCCTCGACCCGCCCCTCGCCCACAGCCTTCACCTCGTCCTCGCCCGCCTCGGTGCTACTCCCTCGCCCCATGCCCTCGCTGCTGCGCTCAACCTGTCTGACGTCGTGCCCTCTCCGCCACGCCCGCCGTCCTCGCCACACAGCCTCGCCTCCGCCGCAGAGTGCCTCCCGGACGACTGCCTGCTCGCCCGCTGGGGCTTGCGCGAGCTGGCGACCGGTCTCGTCGCCCGACTGGAGCATACCGACATGACGGGCGATGCTGATGATGTTGCTGTCGCTTGGCTGACGCATCTGCTGGCCACCGCCTACGCCGAGGAGCCCACACTCATCATGGCGAGCAGGCTGTTCGAGGCTGCCGCCGACGAGATCATGGCCATCCTTGCCATGCTCCCGGCGCCGATCTTCACCCCGCTCGAGCTTGCAGCTGCTATCGTGTCCGTACCGGCTGCGCGCTATCCAGACCTACTCTCGTCCCACTCACAGGCCTTTCTCTACTCGGGCGGGATGGACGCCATCACTGCGGCGCTCGCTGCCGCACTTGCCGCTTTTCCGAACTCGCCACACGCGGTCATCCGCCTCGATCCCGATCGCGACTACATGGAGACTGCGTACGTGACCACTGACATGGAAGTGGCGCCGCCGTGCGAGGCTACCACAACCCTCATTGCACTTCTCACCCTCAATCCGTCGGCGCCGGCCGGCGACCTCGATCCGGCGATCATCGCCGATGCGCTTGCCGCCGCTCGCCGCGCCGCGCCGCGCCTCCTCCGCATCTTCCTCGTCATTGACATCACCATCGAAACACCGGCGCTGATGCTTCCGCGCGTGGTATGCGCCCTTGATCTAGGCGGCACACAGTGTCATCTTCTCCTCTGCAAGTCGTATGTCAAGTACGCTTCGCTCGGCCTCGCCAAGTCGATGGCCGGCTCGGTTGTCGCCACCTCCCTCACCTCGAGTACTCTCCCGCCTCAGCTCTGCGAGCTGCTTGCAGCGTGGCAGGCCGATGCCTCGCTACCGGAGCACGGCCTCCTTGGCCTGCTCCTCTCGTACGCCTCCCATCGCGAGCTCGAGCTTGTCGACTCGGCCGCTGCCGGCGCGGCCGCGGTCGCATTGTCTCTACTTCCAGTCTATCGTGAGGTCGCAGGCGGAGAAGCTTTTGTGAGCGGCCTTCCGTTCATTCTCAAGGCCAAGAGCGCAGCGCGATGGGTCCTCTTTCCCACACGCGCCATGGCTCTGGCCACGCGCCGACCGTCGATCTCGCTGCCCTCACCGCCAAGCTCGCCTTTGAGGATCGTGACTCGTTCTCCTCGCTCTCATCAGCCACCCTCTCGATGACCTCGCAGTTCCGATTCAACGTCGGCCAAGAGTCTGACGACGAGCTTGTCCTCCGCTACGCTGCACTTGGTATTGTCTGCCGACCGCAGCTTCCGGGCGCCCGCCCGCAGGAGATCACTCTCACCGCTGCGCTACACGCCGCCGCTGCCGCAATCGACGACGGCAACCCGCTCATCGCGCTCTCGCTCTACAACTTTATCTTTGCCCATCACCCAGGCCTCCCGCGCCATGTCCTTCCCGAGCTCACCCACGGTCTCGCTGCTGCCTTTGACATCCTTTCGGCCGAGGCTCTCCGATTCGAGGCCGTCCACGCTGTCGTCCTAGGCTGGCTCGCGAACATCGCTGTTGCTAGCGAGTCGCTGCCGCGCCCACCACCTGCTGCCATCGTCGCCCTCCCACTGCATCGCGTCTTCAATTCGCTCGTGATGGCGGTGGAAACCAGCGCGGCGTGCGCTGCGCTGGCAACAGAGCTCACACCGCTAGTGCCCATTCCGCAATCCATCGCCTCGGCCATGCTTGATGCCCTCACTAGTCACCATCGGCATGCAGACGGAGTGCTCGGCGCCCGGGCCCGTCTTGTCGCCCAGCTGGCGGACATGCCAGACGGCGCACTGCCGCCCCCGCTCGTAGACGCCATCCGCGCTTCCGAGGCCGCCGCTGCCGCCAAAGCCACTGCTGCTGCCGTTGCCACGGCAGCAATCCACCGCGTGCTTGACGCCGCGCTTGGCGAGGTAGCGAGCGATGCTCCCAAGGCTGCCGTCGCCAAAGCCGTGGCGGTTGCAGTGACGCAGCTCGAGGAGCTTCACGAGCTGGGCTGCGTGCCGCAGCCAGCAATCGTGGCCAAAGCAGCGGCAAGCCATCCCGCCGTCCAGCGACTGCGGCTCGACGACCCGCAGCTGGCGAGCATGTGGACTGCGCGGCGACCGGAGGTGTTTGTGGCAGCCCGGATTGCAAAGTCATGGGCGCGGGCAGAGGCACATACGCAATCATGACGAGCCCGACAACAGCTGCGCCTGCATGTCCCAGTCGATGCCCGAGAGGGTGTAGTAGAGAACCAGCCGCGAAGCGTCGCCGGCAGCCTCAATCTTGCCGGCCGCGAGTGCGGCCGCTACGTCTGCAGCAGCTGCGGCAGCAGAGGCGGCAGCGGCGGCGGCAGCCTCAGCCTCCTCGTCGATCTGGACAGCTCGGCCAAAGTGAAGGAGGAGCATGTTCTCGACAAGCTTGACTCGGCGGCCGGTGGCGAACCTCTGGAGGAGGACCGGTGAAACGCCGAGTCGCTTGGCGAGCTCATTGCGGTCCGGGACGCGGACCAGCTGCTCGCGGAGCCAGTTACAGAGCTCGTCCGAGAGCTTGGCCACCGACGGCTCCTGGCCGCCTGGCAGGTCGCGGGCATCAAACTCGTCGAGGACCAGCTCGCGGACTGCCTCGCCACCCCCGTACATGGCAAGGAGCGCGCCCTCAACTTTGCGCGACCGCCCGCCGGAGCGGAACGAGTTGAGCAGCGTCTCGGTTACGCCCAGGCGCCGGGCCTGGACCGCAAACAGCGCGCCCTGCCGCAGCGAGGCCTCTGCCCGGGCCCGCAGCCACGCGACCAGCTCGGTGTGGAGCTCATGCCCTCCGTGCGCCGCCGCGAGGGTGTACCGCTCGTCGGCAGGGTACAGCAGTTGCAGAATGCGGTTGGCGTCAGCGCAAAAGGCAGTAAAGGCACGGAAGAGCTCCCACAGCGCCTGGTCTGGCTGCATCGGATTGCCGGACCACCAAAACCCGTCGTCGGCCTCGTAGAGGACGGCCACGCCCGAGACGTGCAGATACGTTCGTGACATGGTGCCGGTCTCGGGCTCGCGCTGGACGTTGTCAAGGAGAAACTCAAAGCGGGCAAGTACCGTAGCCTTGACCAGCGGCAGCAGGTGCGGCTGATCGGCGACAAGCGTCGGGTCAAGCCCGATGTGGGTCCGCGCCCGCCAGATCGGCGTCCGCTCACGACCGCGCGAGCCGACCGGGACCTGGACGAGAGAAAACCCACACTGTCGCGCACGGCGAGTGCACGAGGTGAGAAACTCGCGGATGGAGACGCCCGACGCAACCAGCCACTGCAGCTCCATGTGCCAGACCTTGGACGGCCAGTACGCGCCCTCGTACTCGATCTTAAGCCACTCGGGCCGGCCGGTTGAGTCGAGCGCATCGAGGTCGACGAGCCGGAACGCCGGCGAGGCGGCCATGTCAGCCTCGTCGGCGGCCGACGGAAAGTAATTGGCAAGGAGCTCCGGGACGTCAATGTCACCGTTGGGTAGGGCCACAGTCGACGGCTCGGGCAAGACCCGGAGCTGCGCAAGCTCCGCCAGCGGCTTTGCCGGGCCGGCCACCGCCCAGCTGTACGAACTTGATGCGGCGTCCGTGACGGCAGCGGTGGCAACAGTGCCCGACGCAGCTGCGGCGTGAACGGCACCACGCAGCGGCTCGAGCCAGCCGCGGTCGACAAAGACGGCTGCCAGCGCCGCAGCATCCAGCCGCGCGTCGAGGCACATGTTAGTCTTGAGCGTGGTGATCACACTCGCACCCGAGATGGCGATGTCGCCGGCAGCATTGGCGAGGCACGCCGCCACGTGCGAGAGCAAGCCCCAGTAGTACGCTGAAATGGTGTCCGGGACTGATTCGACGCGGGTGGTGGCGGCGACGTGGGAGACCCGGTGGGCGACAGCGTGGAGGACTTCGCCGCACGCGTCGCGCATGGCTACGTACTCGCCGAGCGCCGCGCCAAACTCGCCGACCCCGCAGGTGAACTTGAGGTATGGGTAGAGGAGTGAGATGCGGAAGCCGGTGGTGATGTCTTCGCCTGAGCGTGGCGCGGTAGCGGTTGAGCCCGAGCGGTGACGGCCGCGGGAGCGGCCGCGGTAGACGCCGACGGCGGCGCCGGAGACCGACGGCGCGACGCGGACGGCGAGCGCGGTCTGCTGCTCCGACCGGGCGGTCCGCACAATGTTGGAGACAAACTTGGAAAAGGCGCCGGCGGCGGTCTCGGGATCGCGGGCCGAGTCGAGGTCTGGGACAAGGGCGAGGCGGACGCGCCACCAGGCGAGCGGCGTGACCTGCGGTTGGCTCGGCTCAAGCATGCCGGAAACCATGTTGTCCTGCGCGTTCCAGTCGTACTCGGAGAGAAGGTGCGGCGTGAGCTCGACTCGGCTGACGACGTACGCGTCTGAGAGCAGAGTCCAGGTGTAGTACTCGTAGTCGAAGCGCATCGACTTGAGGTAGTCTGAGTCGGGCGGGAGGCCGTGGATGGTGACCTGGATGGTCTCGTTGTCGCCCTCGGTGATTTCGTGATACGTCTGGCCGATCGACATCTTGACGGTGGCCGAGCCGCCGCCGTCGGCGCCGGGCTCGGGCGAGGCGAGGAGCTTGCGGGCCTGCCGCCGCGACGACGCAGTGAGCCGGCGCGACGAAATGCGCGAGGTGGTTCTTGCAGGGATCTTAGGCGGCGAGTTGGATGCTGCGCCGCGACCGGCGAGCCACGGAAAGAGTGCCGTGTGCGCCGACTTGGTGGCTTCAGCAGCGTCGGGAACGTAGAGCTGGAAGCCCTGTGCGAGCCGCTGTGAGACTAGCTCCTTCATCATGGCGCTCATAGCGGCGTACTTGACGTCGTCAAGGTCGGGTGTGACCGAGTGCGGGCGCTGCTGGAAGCCGCGCTGACGCAGCTCCGACGAGTCGGGGTAAAAGTCGGTGGTGAGCGGGAGGAGCGCTGGCGAGCAGAGCGAGAGCCAGTTGGGGCCCGATGGGGTAAACGAGGCACAACCCGAGGTTTGCGCCACCACCTGGGCCGACGCCGGCGCGATGTGGGTCCATCGCCGGCGTGACGCGTTGCGGCCTTGCTGGGTGAGCGGCTTGAACGGGTTGTCGGCGTCGTAGACGCGGGCTGCTGTCGAGCCTGGTTTGCGCGCTGGCCCCGCTGCGGCGGCACCGGCATCACTCGATCCGCCGCCGGTCGACGACGCACCAGAGGCGGCACCTCCGAGACCGGCTGCGGTTGGGATGAGCAGCGAGTGCTCCGAGGGCGACGAGGCAACCGAGAACTGGTCGGAGCGCCCGTCGTCAGACTCGGACGGCGAAAAGTAGCGCGGCGAGTGGCCGCCTGGCGAGCGCGGCGAGCGGCCGGCCACAAAGAGCGTGCGGTCACGGATCGGGACCGAGGTGCCCGAGTAGGTCCTAGCTCTCGCGGCGCGTGACGGTGAAATGGTCAAGGAGCGACCGACAACGGAGCGGTCGTCGCGGGAGTGTGCGCGGGCATGGCCACGCCCGCGCGACGGGCCAGGGACTGAGCAGCCAAAGACAGCAGCATCAAACGAGGCAAACGAGGCAAGGACGTCAGGCTCGTGGACGCGTGAGTCGCGCGGGCGACGGAGATTGAACGAGTGGTGGGCAAAGGAGGATGCGGCGGCGGAGGCGGCAGCGGCGGCCTCGGGTGACTCCCACTGGCCGACGGAGGAGCCAACAGAGGAGCCGAGAAGAACGTCGCCAGAGATGTTGGACTCCCCGGAAAAGGGAAGGCGGGCGTTGATGACGCGGGTGGAGAGGTGGGTCATGGCGAGGGTACGGAGCGAGGAGGCAAGGTGGCCACCAAGTGAGCTGTGGCCACGGAGCGAGGGATCGACGACCGGGTTCGGCCCGACAGCCGGGGCTGTGGCGTGCGGGAGACGCTGGAGCGGGCGGACCCTGCCGGGTGCTGCGTCGATTTCAAAGAACGAGACAGCAAGCCAGTACGGAGCCTTGGCGCGGAGCTTGCCGTGGAGCACGTCGGGCTCTTCGAGGAGGAAGAGCGGAACAGCGTGGAGTGGCGGTGGGGCGAGGCAGAGGATTTCAGCGCCGACGCCGTTGTCGATCATGCGGTGCTTAGTGAGGAGTGCGAGCGAGTTGTCGACAGAGAAGACGGCGGTGCCCGGCGAGACAATGATGATGGACTGTCCGGTGCGGACCATGTTGCGGTCGACGTTGTGCTGGTCAAAGACGTTGAGGCAGAGGTTGATGGCCTCGAGGATGTTGCCCTCGCGGGCAAGCGAGATGAAGGAGCGCGGCGACGAGAGAGCGGCCTCAAGGACGGCGGCGGCGGCCGGGGAGTCGGCAGCGTGCTTGCGAATGAGAAAGAGGCGGGCCGAGGCGACAAAGGAGCAGAACTCAGCCTTGAGACGGACAATGAGCGAGTCCCACGAGGAGCGGGTCTCGGTGTCGACGAGGAGCTTGTAGACGTCAAAGTGCGGGGCGAGCGGCGGGGCGCCGAGCGCGTCTGCGACGTTGTCGGTGTGCAGGCGGGCAAAGAGTACGATGGAGACAGCGTGCTGGCAGCCTTCGGCGACCCAGCGGGTGCAGAGCTCCTCAAGGAAGCGAGTGGCTTTTTCAAAGAGCAAATCGCCCGAGGTCGGGTGCCACTCCCACATCTCGGCAGCCATCTGGACGAGGATGAACACCTGGGCCGAGTACGAGCGGACAGTAAACTTGGTCTTGTGCGTGACAACGCCTGAGAGCACGCTCGCGCCACCGCGGATCATAGAGCGGACGGAGACGGTAATGCCGACGCAAGTGAGCGACTTGCCGGTGTAGACGCACGGGGCGTCGCGGGCCATGGCGCCCATGAACCGCCACATGTCGGATCGCCCGATGTACTGCGACTTGAAGGTGACTTCGACGTGGTCGACCTGGACCCGGTCGAGCTCGTTCGAGCTGAGCTTGGTGATGCGGACCTGCTGCCGGTCGCGGAGGCCAAAGGCGCTTGCAACTGCGCGACTCACCGAGATCCGCAGGTTCGACCGCTTGGTGAGACCAGCCGCGGTCGGCCGGATCGAGTGGTACAGGACCTGCGCGCCGGCGGCGGCATCATCATCACTAGTCGCACCGGCATGGGCGCCTTCTTCCGGCGAGCCATCACCATCCTGCTTGACACCTGCCACCGAGCTGCGGCGAGAGGAGGGAAACGAGGCTGTGTCGGGGTCAGCGCCGTTGCCCGACGGGCTGGTAGCAGCAGCATGCTCTGTGTTGGCGGCATCGTCGGTGGCTTCAACCGATGCGATGGCAACCATGTCCCCAGGACCAAAGCCGGCCAAGTGGTTGAGGTTGACCACCACATCAGCGCCTTCGTACTCGCTCTGCTTGTGGACCCAGAGCGTGACGGTGACAGGGCGGACAGACTTGGCCACAGAGCCGGCTGCTGCTGTCGGAGAAGCGCCTTGGTTGGCCGTGGTTGAGCTCGAGCTTGCAGCTGCTGCAGGTGCGCGTGTGCGGTAGAACCGCACCATGGCCGAAGTTGTGGTGGGGGGGGGGAAGAGGGGTGCTGGCTGTCTTGCCCGAGCCGGAGTCAGAGCCCGGACTTGGGCTTGCGAGGGGCGGTCACCATGCGAGGTGGCTCATCGATCGCTGATAGATGAGGCTCGTTTGTTTCAATCGGGGAAAGCTAGAGGGGGGAAATAGAGCCGTAGATGGCTGGGTGGCTGGCTTGGTGGCTGGCTGGCCGCCTACCTGCTGAGAGAGCGGCAGGTGTGGCTTCCCAGTGTGTTGAAAGCCACGAGCGGCAGGTAGTAGGATGCCACCGCGAGTCAAGGATGCGTCTAGAGGGAGGGCGGTGAGGCCTACGCCGACTTGGCCTTGGCATCGGCATCGGTGCAGCCGTTGTGCATGGAGATGAGCCAAGGGGTGTAGGAGGTGGCCATGACGAAAAAGACGCCGTAGACGGCGAGCGGGACCGAGGCGAAGCCGGCAGCAGCGATCTGCGGATAAGCGATGAGGACAAGGAAGATGGTCTTGTAGACAACCTGCATGAGGACAAGAGCCTTGCATGCGTGCGGAGCGTAGAGGCCGATGAAGGAGACGATGAGGACGGCTGTCCACATGGCGGCAAGGAGTGCGGCAAAGTTGTCGGACCACGTCCCAAACTTGCCCTCGAACAGGTGCTCCTCGGCAAGGCCGGTCCACAGCAGGGCACAGACTGGGAGCAGGACAACAATGTTGAGGATGTACGGGTAGCGTTCAATAAGAGCCATCGTTGCCTGTAATAAGCGTGCCGTGTGCAGAGTTGCAAAGTGTACGGTATGGCCCACGCGTGCGTTGGCCACGTCCTACCAATCAAAAGAGTACGTCAATGGCCACAATGCGGGCCCACAAGCCAAAGATCAATGGCCACGCCATGTTGATCAATGGCACGCCATGTTGATCAATGGCCACACCGTGTCTCCAACCACCAACCAACCAACCGCCAACCAACCACCGGCCACCCACCACAAGCCCACCACCTTTCACCTCTGCCAACACTCCGCTCCCACCCCCGGACAGCGAGTGCAGGTATGGGCCAGTACCTTGCGCGGAATGTGGAGCGAAGGGGAGACGGGCAGCTGAAGCGGTCCGAGGGCAATGCCGCTGTGGTGGCAGAGCTGCTCGAGGGTGTTGTCCATATCAACGACAACTTTCCCCGTGAGGCCGCCATTGCCTTTGCCTCCCCGCTCACCTTCCCCTCTTCCGTATCCTCACTGGACGCCTTTGAGGCTCTCCCAGACTATGTTCACGACCCGTCTGCCCACGCCATTGTCTCGCTGGTACGTACCCTCCTCCTCCCCCCCCGTG